ACCCGCTACGGGATCCTCTTAAATAGTCACTTTATTATGTATATATAGCCTAAACTGTACCTTCATCTTTGTGCATTTGTCCATTTCCGGCTCGGACGTAACGCACAGTGTCATTCGATTTACGGGACAATGACGCACCCCTAATACAGAATCTAGAGAGTTCTTCAAATAGCCAGTATACGTTTGATCCTTTTCGTTTAGTTGTACAAAGTCGCGAGCGGAATCCTAGAAAAAATGAAATGCTCGACGGATAAGTAACTCGATTAGCAAATAAACGAAACGCGAGAGTATCACGACTTACAGAGAATATTAAATTATGCTGAATTCCATATCTAGGTGCCGATTCGTATAAATCAAACACTTCTATTGGTTGTACATTCGTAAATTCAGTGCGGCCTCTATCTCTATTATAGTAATTGAATGTATCATTGATTGCAGGCCTTTCCCACGGGTTTAATCCTCCCTCTATTCCACCTCTTCCGCCGAAGCTGCGATTGTATCCCAAGTTGCGATCCAAATTGTCTGTAGTATATTCGTTTGGATTCCTAAATCCGCCTCTGTTAAAGTCACCCTCGTTAAATCTATCGTTAAAACCCGGACGATTCTCGAAATCCCTTTGATTGTCGAAACCCCCTTGATTTCTATCAAAACCCCCTTGATTTCTATCGAAGTCCCCTTGATTTCTGTCGAAATCCCCTCGACTTCTGTCGAAACCCCCTTGATTTCTGTCGAAACCTCCTTGATTTCTGTCGAAACCTCCTTGATTTCTGTCGAAATCTCCTTGATTTCTGTCAAAATTTCCTTGATTTCTGTCGAAATCCCCTTGATTGTTGTCAAATCCTCCTTGATTGAGGCTTGTGTCATTTCTGTTTCTGAATATTCGAGCAGCTCTTTCTAAAAAGCTCTGATACTTTCGACGAATGTTAAAGGTGATCGCTGAAGACGTGACTATCGCGCGGGACGGCACGGTGCCCCAATTGCAAGCCATGTAATCGTCCACGGGTTTGCGAGTGCCGTCCTTGCACAGCAGCTCGAAGTGCTCCTTCGTCACGGAACCTAATAGCGAGAATCATAAAATGAGAAATCTGCCGTCTTCTCTGAAAATTCACATTGTAAGGCTACATACTGAAGTCGAATTTCGTCGAGGTCATCTCCTGCACGGTCGTGTGCACCAGAAAGGCAATCTCGCCAGACTCAACTAAGCAGCGAAAAGCACCTTCGTATCCTGAGTAAGGATCTTGACTCGTACACTTGCCACCCGGTACTTTTCCGATGCACAGGCTGCATAAGTGATCAGAATTATCGCCTGCAAATTGGTTTCCCAGATTATAATAACCGTAGGATAGAAATGCAATCTATATACACTCTCGCAATAAACCTACCAAGCGGATTGTATTTATCGATTAACGAGTTCACCGCACAACTAGGTCCGAAGAATTGAATCGTTGACTTTACGTGATTGTTGCAGTCGATAACTTCCATGCCTCCGTATCTCATAAGCTGAAGAAAAATATCTCTCGTTAAATACAATATGTAAAAAGTTATAAGTATATTGCGTTTATTACATATTGCTTCCTCATAGAGAAATCTGTTTTCGTGAAAGAATTGTATTACAGTTTTCATTGCCAATATGTTTAGAATGTTTCAAAACGTAAAAAAAACACACATTTTTAAGATGTGTGTCTGTGTGTGTGTGTGTATGTATGTAATGTTCACACTCTACTTCCCTAAATATTGAAATATCGGAATAATCTGTGAAATATTAATAGAGTGTCATTAAAGAATAGTCGGTATTGAATTGGGCGAGAATCGGCGAAAAGGTTCAGTTTATACATACATACCCATACAGCACAGATGGTTGCAGTTACATTGCAGAAATGTTGCAATCTTGCAGATTGCAGTGCAATCTTACAGAGACATTGCAGGGATATAAAATTGCAAACTTTCGATAGCAATATTGCAGCAATGTTTCAAAAATAATAAAAATACTATATTTTCTATTAAAAAAATTTTTCTAATTACGAGAATTTTATTATGTTATTTTCGTTGATACCAATAATGCGCGAATGATTAAGTACTTGATCAGTGCGGTGTTGCTCGCAATCTCCATCTATTGTGAAGCGACATAATTTCCTTAGGTTGCTTCGCAATAGCTTGCTGTGCATTGAAAAAGGCCCGGATGCATATGTAATTAGTAAATTCTCTGCTTCTGTACAAGAAATTATTCCAAAAATATTGCACTGGAACATTGCTATAATGTTGCACTGCAATCTCTCTGAGGGCGGACATTTCAACGTTGCTGCAATCCTCCAGAAACGCTGCAGCAATGTTGCGCAACATTGCTGCAATCTTGCAATCTTACAATGTAACATTTCTGCAATCTTCCTGCAATCTTTCTGTGCTGTGTGGGTATACATGTATCTAAAAACGTCGTTTTCTTTGAATAATTTCGAAAGTATGCAAGATAGGGAAAACATGTCAAAGACGAAAGTTGTAGGGTTTCAAGTGACCCATTAGATAGCAATAACGGTATGACCTTGAACAGCTTCGTCAAGGTCGCGCAAAGGTCACGTTGAAATCATTAAGTGAAATCCCCCTTTTTCATTACATATTCTTGTAACTTACCTCGAGACCTCTTCAAAATACTATGATAAAGTTTATTTTCGTTGTTATTACATATTGCATTTATACATTACAATCTAGAAACTTCACTCACATTGTTAATAGGAATAACCCAGCCAGCTAGCATCCCGACACCAGCGAAGCAGGCCTTCTTGCCTCTAAGATCGTACAAACTGTGTACGTCGGGCAAGGTGCCCTTCTTGACCACCGCAACGGCGAATTGATAATTTAGGCCGCTGCTATATATTTCTTGCATTATCGGCACAAGACTGTGATATCGTCCACCTATGAAGACCTCTCCAGCGTCCAACGTCGTTAACTGCGCTTTCTCGTGGTCCAGCATGGTCATACATTCCTCCTTGTTGAACGCCTGCTTGCATCGCACCGAAAAATATGTGTAGTTGAAGGAACCTATCTCGCGGTCGACCGCACTGGCGAAGGCTTTGCATTTATTCTGCTCGCCCTCGGAGACGGTACACCAGGTGAGTGTATTGTTCAAGTGCTGACCTGTTGGCAATTAATTAATTAATTAAGTGAGCAATCGCTAAAAGTAGTTAACATATCTCCGGTGTCAATACGTTTTATTAAGTATGATGGAATTTTGCTGGTGTGTAGTTAAAAATCTTGCTTAATTCAGTTTTATTTCGATATTTCTGTAAAAATATAGCGAATTATTTTCGTCAAAAAGTAACAGTTTTTAATTAAATTCGCTAAATTTCAAGATATTTTTATTACTTTTCAACAGTATATTTTAACTTGCCTTGTATCTCACAATATTACAATACATTGAATTTTTTCAGAAAAATTATGATTTATTTCAAGATACATTGTTTTTGTCAGAATATAATATTATCGAATTAATTTCGACAATAGACAAATGGCATAGATAACATCGATATTATCGTTATTTTGTTAAAAGTTCGTCATTGTGCTCGTCCCTTTTCTTGCGAACCATGGTGTGCATGTCAGACGTAAGGCCTCGCGATCCAGTTAGAATGCCGATTCAGGTAAATTTAGATAATAAGTTGATACGTGAAATGCGTCTGCGTAATAACTAAAATATTTTTGTTACGTAAAACACATTTTTTTTAGATTAGCATTATTACTGTGTCAACAAAACTCTGCTGATAATTTTACTTTATCTTTCTGTTGCTCATTGTGATACTAATATATGTATAATATACATATAATAAATATATTGAAATGCATTAAAAATTAACTAATTTCTTAATAGATTTTACAGAGTTTACAGCAAAATATTTCCATCAGGGATGAGATACAGCATTCTGCATTACATTTCGTGTTTTTCACAATGTAAATAAAGTTAGTGCAAGCAATAAAAAAAATCGGGTAGGACATATTATTGCAGTTAGATCCTCGAGAATGAGAATTAATGATTAATTTGACGTTAATTGGACGTGAAATAAGAGTATCTTAAGGATATAATTATTCATTATTTGACGCGCATTGCAATTGCGTTCTACGCGCTTTTGTTAGTCGCATTTCTGCGATGTTCGTCGCGTGGGAGAGGATACTACCGTGAATTTGATGTAACGCGAAACAGCACAGGGACAGTAATGACGCGTAATATTGGAGCCACATCTTTCCATTCGACATTTCTTTCGAATTCAATCGCACACGGACAACACCCTTGACATGACTACTCCGAACTGTAACGAACTACACCCAACCTGCAACAACGCGTGACGTAATGTATTCGTTGAACGAGGATAGAGTGATGAATAGACGCTACGGGTCTGTTCGTTTTACTTACGTAGACTAAAACAAGAGGTTTGTTCTTTACAGCTGAATCAGAGTATAAAGCCTAGTGCAGACTGCACGCAGCAAGCGGCGGCAAGCATATTGGCCTTGTTTACACCGATCGTTTGATACGCGTATGAGATTCACTCATACTTGACGCCGACTG